CCTACAAGTAATTGTTCCGGGTCTGGATGTTTTTCTTGTGAAACTTGTGTTTGTAAACTGCCCCCACGATACAGGATAAAATCCTGGTGTGGAGGTAAAAGAAAGTAGTAGGAAGAAGAGTAAGAAGAAGAAGACTCATAGACGTTTAAAAGATATTTATTTTTTATGATTTAGTATCTTTAATCCATCTATTGTAATACTTTAAAAATTAAAAGTAAAGTAAAGTTACAGCCTATATACGTCCCACTGCTGAGCACAGGCTCATTTCTAAAAGGGTTTTAGGGCAAGGAAGTGTCCGCCGCGCTGCCCCAATGCGTGTTGGCGAACTTCACATGTCTTCGAAATATATTTTTTTTTTCTTATTTCTCTGACATGCAAGTTTCCTAACGATGTTTTCCTACACCGCCGAGCACGTGACAAATCAGCACTTTCACACAAAAAAATTAAAATTGACAATTTCATTGGTGCCGGCGGGGATCAAACCCGGTTTGCTCGCGTACTGTGAAATTTACAGCGAGCGCTAACCATTTGAGCTACCACGGCTCCACAAACACAAATAATCTTTACTTGTCTTTAATCAATCTTTTTAATCGTAATTATTTATTTATTTAGGCTTTATTTGCACACGATTAGAAAAAGGCGGACTCGATGCAACAAGTCCCCTGGACGCTGGAGGTAGAGGTAGGTATGTGTTCAAAATGCAAACAATTACGTGATATATTTTCTATGGAGATGTTATGTGAAATTCTCAACACTACAACGAACACCTTCGTAAAATATTGTTATGTATTATATTCGCAAATTAAACGATTCAGGGTCAAATAGTCGTATTAAAAGCATACAAATTAGTCGAGTTCTGCGCGGACGAAGCCCGCCGCGTTTGGACTGTTAATGAATTCAAAATTTACGAACTGCCGGTTACATAATATGACGTAAAATGTACAGAGTAACGTATGAAACTCAGTATTTATAAAAATACATTATTGATAAAACTTAGTATTTTTCATAACTAGCAAACCCTGTCTTCATCTGGATAGGATCTAATAATGTGGCTTTATTTAGATTTCATATAATCGACGGCCATTTATTAAAGGCAATGCTTTTAATATGTTCATGTAGTTTCATCAAAATTGGTTCAGCCATTTCGAAGATTAGCTCAGACAAACAAACAGATAAAAAAAATTCGCACGCACTACAACTTACCAAAGTTTTATCGTATTGGTATCGTAATTTTATACGTGGTAGAGCCATGCTGCAGTTATATTAGTAGTTTAGTTGTAGCACAAATGGGTCGGCTCGACCGGGAATTGACCACGCTTTCACAGAATACCAGCGTGAAATAGTAAGCTAAATGCTGCCGTGTTTCGTATGGTGAGTGTAGAGAACCGGAGACCCTTTTTACTAGAAACGAGGCATTCCATCTTAATCCTCACAGGTGACAACGCATCTGTAATTTTATTCGAAATCGAGGATAGATGTAGCTGTCTGTGGGCCATAGCAACCACCATTTGAGTGGAATTGACCCATTTGAGTTGAATAAGGAATATCATAAGCTCGAAGCAACAACTAGAAAAACGTCTTTTTGATGCCCTATTTTTCCATACACAGGAGTGAAATTTTTTCTCCGAAGCAGATGTTTCAAATTGGGCCAAGTCTATGTACACTACCTCAAACAAAAAAGAAAAATCTGTAGAATTCGGGAAAAATACAGATAATTTATTTAAATGTCGTGCTAAACAATTGATGTTTATCAATTATTTTTATCGAATTTCAATATGGTGTCTTACACTTAGTTACTTTGTGCTTATAGACAGTGGCAGTTAACGATAAAGCGACCATTGATCTTAACAAGAGAACTGTCAGTTGTCACAACAGTGTCAAAAATACGTAAAATAAACATGTTAAACGTCACTAATCAATACAAAATTACAGCTTACCGTCATGTCGGGATTTTTGTTTAAATAGTGTTTTCCTAATTTTGAGTATAGTTTACAAGGACGTGGCCCAGGCTCCATAAATTTTGGAAATATCATTTGTATGGAACCAACCCTAAATACGTTACAGGAGGTGTACAAGGACGTGGCCCAGGCTCCATAAATTTTGGAAATATCATTTGTATGGAACCAACCCTAAATACGTTACAGTTACGTTTGAGCAAATTAATAATGATTTCCATTAAAATTCACAAGTGACGAAGATATCACGTTACATTACATTTAAAAAAAAGCGTACATTTTCCTAAGTAATAAAGTAGTAAAATTACAACTGAGCATAGAGCTACTTCCTTTTAAGCTGGCTATAGGCAGTGACCTTAGAATATAAAGAAGCAAGTTATAAATAGTCTTAGGCGTGACCTATTAGACCGATTCATTATACTGATTACTTTTTCAACGAAAATTCAAGAAACTTGATGTGGATACGTATTTTCACTAATATATCCTGATCATGAAATTTTATCATTGCCTTAATAAATATTCACTCTGTTTATGATTAGTCTGTGATGACAACAATATTTTTATAGCGAAAAATAATAGTGCGGCGCATGGACCTCGTACGTACGTGTTAGCATGTAGGCATGTATTTTATTTGCGATTCCATCTAGCCGCGAATATTTAATACCGCAAAAACAAACATACATAATTTGGCGGACTTACACGTGCTGCTTGTCTCTTTGAGTTTAAAACTCATGCAGGTTTATACATTATTTTGAATTACTTATATCATTATACTAATACTAGAGCCGTGGTAGCTCAGGTGCAAAGCGCTGTAAATTGTTTAGTACGCGAGCATTCCGGGTTCGATCCCAGTCGGCACCAATGTTAATTGCAATATTAAGTATTGATTTTCCAGGTGCTCAACGGTGAAGGTAAACATAGTAAACTTATACGTCTAGGAGATTAAAGTTACCCTATATACGTCCCACTTCTGGGCACGGGCCTCCCACTCATTTCTGAGAGGGTTTTTAGGGCAAGGAAATGTCCGCCGCGCTGCCCCAATGCGTGTTGGCGAACTTCACTGGTCTTTAAAGATAATTTTTTTTTCTTATTACTCAGACATGCAGGTTTCCTCACGATGTTTTCATTCACCGCCGAGCACGTGGTAAATCAGCACTTAAAATTTCAATTACTATTGCGGCGGGGAGAACCCTCATCGCCCACCAAAAAAAAAAAATTAGCGCAGCAAAAACAAAACATACGAAAGAAAAAAAACTTCGTATCGGCAAGTAAAGTATGAAGCGGCCTCCCGCTAGATAGAGTGATGGCTGACGACTTGGTAAATGGTGAAAGAAATCAATGGATGCAGGTGTCGCAGGACTATGCTTTGTGGCATCCTTGAAGAAAGCCTATGTTCAGAATTATATATTATACGTGGTAAAGCCACGCTGCAGTTATATTAGTAGTATAGTTGTAGCACGAATGGGTCGCTCGACCGGGGAAGGAACACGCTCTCACAGAATACCAGCGTAAAATGATAGCTTAATGCTGCTGTGTTTCGTATGGTGAGTGTAGAGAACCGGAGACCCTTTTTACTGGAAACGAGGCATTCAATCCGTGAAAATGTGTTGCTAAATCAAAATTAGGGGCGCACAGTGACATAGCTTTCCACATTACACTTTTAAAGGTGCATCCACACTCCACACTTGTGACATGAAATCGGACCGGACTACGTGGCATCGTACAGGACATGTTACGCCTAATGTAGACATGTGACACGCGAATGTGAGTTGTACTGACTCTTACACTGATGAAATGTTACAAGTATAGACGCATTGTGTCGACCTAGACCTACGTTGCATCAAGATTCTGTTGGTGCTGGCATTTAAGCACCAACCATCAGGCAGATAATATGTCGTCTGCGTGTACGGATGTCGAAACGTAATTTTTGGGAAACTGTCAGTCTTTTTGAGATTTGGATGGGACTTTCAATATTGTGTTAGGCAGGGGTCGAACCATTATGGTCGCCACACACAGACAGTTTAACTGATCAGTTCAAACTAAAACTGTTGATATTTTTTAAAATATTTGATTTTCGATATATCGATAAATAAACTTATATATTATAAAACTCCGATATTGATATATTTGTAATTATCGATATATTATCGAAAGTTCATTATATATCTGCAGCATGGCTTTTTCCACGTTTAAAGCTAGTGAAAGTGTGGAAAGCTAGTATGATATTAAAAAATCTGGTAAATATATTCGTGAGCAGGGCAAAGAGAAGAGGTCGGTGAGGGGCGCATATTCGTAATTAGGCTAGGGCTGTCAGAACTCTAAATCAGGCATTGCCTGTCAGCTACTAACACCGATTAAGAACCACTACAGCTCGAAGAACCGGCAACCGATGGGGAAGAAAGATTCTCGAGTAGTAGTCTCGTGAGTCGTGATCTCTTGCCAGTAAGCGAAGTGTAGGGCAGCCGGCACCGGGCACCCCCCCTTCCCACTAGACGGAATGGTATGTCAATTTAGCAAAAAATATCTTTATACACTCATAACAAAAGCGACCTCTAGTCAAAGTAATGCGTAAAATTACAAAAGAAGCATGATGTTGACACACAATTTGGTCACGTCTATATTTATTTATATAGTGTTACAACAGAGGGCGCTAGCGTATATGTTAAATTTAATTAAATAATTTTTAAACAAAAACTGATATTATAATACCTAATTTTTTTATGAAACATATGAAAGTGAATAAGGTATTCACTCCTATGAATAAAAAATGAAATTAAAACGAATTATAATATTGTGGACTAATATTACAGGATACCCTTAAATTGCTTTAATATGGCAACACCACAAAACTCAACAAAAAAGTGCGAGGTAGCCAACCAAGTAAATGGCGTCTCAAGTTGTTTTTTAGGTAATTTCTGTGTTTCTCTTTTAATGTGTCGTTTTAAATGTACAATGCCGTGATAATATTTACACAATCATAAGTGTCACAACTTAATTGACAAATAGTGGTTATTTCGTCGACGTTACATCTTTTACGTTGAAACAATGGCGTCGAATGAACATATAGAATCCCACGTAAAAGTTAGTGAAAATCGCGAATTATCGGAAGATGACTGTAGTTCTAGTAGCGAAACGGATGCCGGCGAAGATGTTAAGCATCGCAGAGTGACTCATGGCTATAAGAAACTTTCGAAACTGGGATACGATCCAAGTGTGTCAACTGATTCGAAACACGCATCTAGCGATTCTAAAGGTATTGCCCTCTTATTTATTTCAATGCATAATGTCTTGTAATCCTCCATCGCGTAGAAACATCGAACTTGGTGAGTGTAGTTCTTTCCAAAACATTTTGGTGGGAAAATTGTTAACCTATCCAATTCTATGTTACATCATTGATGGAGGTCATAACTGTTTATAAACACGCATTCAGATTTTATCGCCATTCATTATTTATTTATATATTTGACCATTAAACAATGTATTTATATTACTTCAATGGTTAAACTAATGTTCTTCCATTTAAAATTGCATCAGAACATGACCTTGCTAGAGTCTGCATTTACTTTCTACTGCCTGTGCTACTATACCTATCCCCTATTATTATCTGACAATAGCAGCACTATACTGTATCAATAATAAATTAGAGAAACAATGTGAACAATTTAATTATTTCTACTTGTGAAGCTCATTATATGTGCTCAACATCTTTTTATCTAAAATTAGTTTACTATCTATTGCCTCAGATAGTTATGGTATAACTGGTAAATTAAATTAAACTTAAATATAAAGGAGAAAATTTCTTTTTGTATGGAGAATGTCAACTTATTCCTAATATTCTATAGATTACAATAGTGATATTAGTTTAACTGCATCTAATGGGTATACTGAGAAATTAACAAGTAAAATATGAATATCACAATGACCTAAAAACAAACTAAAAGTGATCGTCTAGTAGTTTTCATTGATATTATAAGTTAAAATAGTACACTGTTCAATAACTAATAGTATAAAAAAAGTTTTAGGTAATTCAGAAGTGTTATAGGTAAATTACGACACATCTTCTTGTAGGTATACCACAATCTCTGAAAACTAAAGTGTACAACCAGTGAGTGCTGCCAGTGATGACTTATAGATCTGAGACGTGGTCCTTCACTGCTGGCCGTATGAGGATGCTCAAGGTCGCTCAGCGAGCTATGGAGAGGGCTATGCTCAGAGTTTCTCTGCGTGATAGACTCAGAAATGAGGATATCCGCTGTAAAACCAGAGTGACCGACATAGCTCAACGGATTAGTAAGCTGAAGTGACAATGGGCCGGCCATATAGCTCGAGGAACCGATAACCAAGGGAGGAAAGGTTCTGGAGTGGCAGCCTCATACCGGTATGCATAGTGTAGGGCGACCCCCCACTAGATGGAGTGACGACCTGGTAAGACATGCAGGTAGTCGATGGGTGCAAGTGGCTCAAGTCTGTGCTTTGTGGCGTTACTTGGGGAAGGCCTATGTTCAGCAGTGGATTTGTGAAGGGCTGTAATGATGATGATGATGATAGGTACTTTAAGATTGATGAAAAATCCTTTTAGTAGTCCTGATGAAAAATCCTTTTAGTAGTCCCGGAAAAACATAGTGCACTGACAAACAAATGTTGTGTGGAAACTATTTTCTATATGTATAGATTGATTAGTGAGTATCAATCCCAAACACAATTACAGTAATTAAAGAAATATAATTTAAGCCAAGGTGACTAAGGAATGGAAATTCCATTTAAAATATTACCTATACATGCTATATGATGAAGATTATGAGTAAATAAATACCCTATAGTATTACCTGTACCCAGAAGTCAATGACAAAATAGGAGTATTAATATGTTTCGTTCCACGGTCACTTTGAATCTTATTATATGATATTAGCTTTTAGAAATATGATTAAAAACAAGTTTTTAGTGGTATCGCTTTTTAGTAATAGATATATATAAATACATAGTATATGTGTATATATCTTTTTATAATATAAACTGCAAAATACTTCATTACCCAATTTTTTTTATATTACATTAGTGAGAACACAAATATCAAAACAATACTCTTTGTTTTCAGATTTCTTCCTTACGGTTAGATTTTCATAAAATTTTTAGGCCACTTACTATAACTAAATTGGTATCTTTAGTTTATGTGTAATACCAATAAGTTACATTAAAATTTCCAGTGGGTCTAAAATCCATTGCCATTGCATTGCATCCTTTAGAAGTTTGATGATATTATTACTTAATAAAAAAGAAACTAATACTAAAAAAGGAAAACAATAATGTTTTCATTTAAGTTAATAAAAAAATATTACTATGCAATTTTATTAGTATTATATATGAATGAATATTTATGTTATATATAATATATGAGTATAATGTGTGACCTTAGCCATTATAACTTAAATTTAAAAATGTATAAAAACACCTATAGCAAAAATAGCCGATTATCTTCAAACAGCCAAACAGATTTTCTTGAAACATAGCTAAGAACATTTGAGTTTGTTTTTTTTCTCAATTAAGACACTTTTCACCAAAAAAAATTTAATAAAACCGCAGACAGACAGATAAACACACCTATCAATCAAACTATAACACCCCTCTTTTAGATTAATATATTAACTTTGGCTTCTTAATACATTTATGAAAATGTAATGTACTAACATAAAAATAAAAGTAGTTTTACAAAAAGAAGTTATATTCATTCTGTAAAAACTAGGAACAGACAAAAGCTTAGTACCAATTACTCGACTCCACCGAGTCCACCCAGAAAATATACAAAATTTGACCTGCACAAAGTTAAAAAATTTGATAAAACTAAGTTTGTATAAAAAGAGTTATTATAATATTAAAGAATTTGTGGATGATAATAACTCCTGGGAAGGGTGATCGCTACCAAGCTTTTTCTAATTTGTTCTGTTCTTAATTGTAACATACATAATTGTAAGCTGTTTTTTTTTAAAGTCCCGCTGGGTTTCTTGCTGGTTCTTTCTAGTAAAGAGGTCTTTTTCTCAACTAGTGGTAAATTAAAAAATAGTGACTTTCAATAAGTATTATTTATAATCTACTAGCTTGCCAGGCAGACATTGTTCTGCCCTTTTTGACGACCATTTGTCATGGCCTATTAAAATTCCTTAAATTTGCAAAAAAATATTGTGGCACACTCATGGGCAATAAAACTATCCTGTCTCTCAAGTTGGAGTAAACTGCACATGGTGTGCAAATTTGATTAAAATTGGTTAAGTAGATTAGGAGTCCAAGTCCATCGCAGATAAACAAGTGACATGTAATTTATAATAAAATATTGAATAACAAAGTTTCTGTTCTGCATTTGGGGTATATCACATAATCTCATTTAATCCTTAATGTTTACTGTCTAGCTAACTAGCTAATTAAAGCAATGGCAAAATTTCTACACAGGGCCAGCTCTTAAATTACATTCAAGTATAATACATAAAATCGTAATTTATGACACATTATTTAACATCCATACTAATATTATAAATGCAAAAGTGTGTTTGTTTGTTTGTCCTTTCACGTCGCAACAGAGCGTCGGCATGGCATGAATTTTGTTATGGGGATAGTTCGGTGGCTGTAGAGTGACATAGGCTACTTTTTTCCGCGAAAAAACATCTCATTCCCGTGGGAAAATCGAATATGTTGCACACGTTTGTCCTGCTTTCATGTCGCAACAGAGCGTCGGCATGGCATGTTTTTTTTGTATGGGGATAGTTCGGTGGCTGTAGAGTGACATAGACTACTTTTTTCAGCGGAAAAACATATCATTCCGCCACCGTGATTCTACAAGACGGACGACGGTACGATGGACGAACACAGAAGGTCAGAATATCTGGATTATTATGTCTTTTTACCAAAATTAAGATAAAAAATGTATGGATCTGTATTTTTCCACGCAGGACCGGGAAGAGAGCGATAAAAAACATAAAATTCACCAGCTGATTTTCTTCAAATGTTTTGGTGCATTGTAATTCACAGAATAGGCGATAACCTCGCAGACGATATTAAGTAATCCGTTGATGCTCTGCCTACCCTACAAGGGTTACAGGCGTGATTATAAGTATGAATCAGAAATACTATCACCACCTGTCACAATTTCACCCTTAACTATTACTTAACTGTGGTAGAAACAGTTCTTAGTAAGCCTTATTAATAAGCCTTAGTAATATTTATTGAACGGAAATGAATACAGTTCTTATATGTGGTTATGAATGAATCGGTATTACAATACGAAAAATTGTGCAAAATTATAAGAAAAATATTTTTTGAAAGTTCTTAGTAACTAACGTATACATAGTTTAAATTGATTCCGCTAGATGTCGTTACTAGGTTTCTAAAACGCGGTAACAAAATTTTTCCTGACATGTACTTAACTCCCGCCGTTGAGCCGCGCGTCAACTTATGTGTATACAGTGCATACGGTACCTATACGCTTAAATTGTTTCGATTTCGTAGCTTATTCGACTACCTGATTTCGATTTCGGTTGTTTGTTATTTGCTTTGTGATTTGGTTAAGGTTGAATGGATTTATATTGTCTTTCATTTTCGGATTTGTGTATTTTCTTGGATCGGTTTTGTTGATTTGGTTGGTATTCCTTTATACATATTTAGACTCTGGCTTTGATTTTGGATTTTGTTTATTTAGAATCGTGAATTGGTTTTCGTTGTTTTAGGTTGTTTAACAATATTTCAAAGGAATATTAATAGTATAGATAGTGTATACGGTACCTATACACTTACTTCTTTTTTCTTTGGTTATATTTATATTGACTACTGCTTTCGATTTCAGTTTTCTGCGATTTGTTTTGTGATTTGGTTTAAGTTGATTCGATTTTTTTTTGCTATTCGATTTGCTAATTGATTCGTGTTGTGTCTTGAATTGGTTTTGTTGTTTTGATTTTAAAAAATATTTAAAAGGAATATTTATTCCTTTTAGATATTTTTGATTTGCTTTTAAAAAAATATTTAAAGGGAAATTTAATTCCTTTTAGGTATTTTAACGTTTTTTTATAAATAGGTTTTTTGTTACTTCATAATGCCTCGCAAACGTAAGTCCAGCATTTCAAGAGTATCTTCTCAAAGACAAGCGAAAAGATTAGCTCGATCGCTAGAATCTTTAGAAGATGCTGAACTGAGAAGGCAAGAACAAGTAAGAGCGTTAGGCTGCTTTTAGAGCTTCTGAAACACCTTCTCGAAGGCGTCTTGAACAGGCAG